AGGGAAAAATTGCACAAAGTGAAGCCAAGTTAGATCTTGCAAACAACATTAAAAGGAACAACAAAAGGTTATTCAGTGGTATTTTTGTTTTTTTTTGGCCCAAAGACACTGAAGAGAGAACAAGGAAAGAAGAAATGGGGCTGCTGCACATTGAGAATTGGGAAGAGGTAAATGGAATGGCCCACAAAGTAAACGAAATCCACTGCCTCTGTTATCAAGAAGATTGATGCTAAACATGGGGCAAAGGCAGGATAGTTCATGGAGATAAGGGCATGGAAATAATCTTAACTGAGGTGGAAGCATAATTCAGAGAACCTTATACAACCAGGTTAGGGGACTGGATAACATCCATCTACAAATCTTGTAAGAAATGGCACCTGAAAATGTGGGTCTGCCAGTAAGGAGTATGGACAAATTTAGGCTGGTACCATATATTCAGAGAACACTGTATTTGCTCAAATCTAAGATTGAGTGCCCTCCCTCCCTGGTCAGCATGAGGTGTGAGGGATAAGCCCCTTGTCATAGATTCGCATAAAAAATGAAGGCAGGGGGCAGGCACCTGCTGTGGCTCTGACACTAGCCCTGAGCCCAGGTTGAGGCTAGTCAGACCCATAGCAGCCTCCTGCCCCTCCATCTGTAGCTTCTGCACCCCCCTCCCCCAGCCCTTCCCCCTCCCCTTACTGTCAGGTGCAGCTAAGCTCAGGTTGGGGCTGGATTCCTTCCCAGGCATGGAGCACATGGAAACTTCATCCTCTGCCCAGGTAATCGGCAGTGCTGACACGGCTGCATGGCTGGCAGGGGCTACACTTCTACCTACTGTGCTTTGGAGAAGGAACAGAGCCTAATCATCAGCATTTCTCAGTAAGGGGGGAGGGAGGGACAGCAGAGGCTGGGGATTGTGAGGAGGAGCAGAGGCTGTAGAGAGCTGGAGGGGCGGGGGGTGCTGGTGGCAGGGGGGGACAAGAAGGCTGCAAAGGGAAGAAGTAGGGAACAGGGCAAAGGGGCTACCTGCTCCTTCTCCCCCCACTTCCCCCCACCACAGCTTTCCCTGCTGTAGCAGTGGGGGGTGGGGGGAAGGATGAATTCAGGACAATCTTTTGATATTTAACTTTTATACCTGGAAAACTATAACTCACATTATAAATTTTCCCTATATAGAATCTAATTATTGTGGGGATGTCTTAAATTCGGGGTCATCTTGGATTCAAGCAAACACAGGAGCTTTTGAAAGTGACGTAGATACTTTTACCCCAAATCTCTACTCTGACAGCTGAACCAGCCTGTACCCAGAATTGCTGTATTTCCAGTGCATGGCAGAGATTATTTCAGAAATGGGCTCAGAGAACAGCCTGTACTGCCCAGGAGCCCTGTGAGGCCATAGTTCCTTTGGAAGACGGCCACCCTGAACCTCTTACAAACATTCCCTTCCTGTCTACCCGCCTTTCTGATGAATCAAAGAAAATGAGGGTTGGAAGGGACCTCAGGAGGTCATCTAGTTCAGTGTTTCTCAACCCATGGGTTATGACCCAAAGGTGGGTCACAGGAACATATGAAAGGGTCATGAAGAGACTTTAAACATTGATCCACAAACTTTAAAAATTAATTCTCCCTTAAAGAGGAAAAGGGTGGGAAACTGTGGCTTTTCCCTTGCAGGGTGGCAGAGCTCCAGCCTGCGAGGGGCTGCTTGGGGCCCCCTACACCCCACACGCTGGGAGGCTGGGGCCTGAGGGCAGCAGGTTGGGAGTGAGGGGAACTGGGTCAGGACTGGCCATTGCTGTTTGCGAATGGGTCATGGTACAAAAAAGGTTGAAAAACACTGATTTAGTCCAACCCCTTGCTCAAAGCAGGACCATCCCCAACTAAATCATCCCAGCCAGGGCTTTGTTGAGCTGGGCTTTAAAAAACCTCAAAGGATGGAGATTCTACCACCTCTCTAGGTCACCTTTTCCAGTGCTTCAGCACCCTCCTAGTGAGAGTTTTTCCTAATATCCAACCTAAATTTCCCTTGCTGCAACTTGAGACCATTGCTCCTTGTTCTCTCATCTGCCTCCACTGAGCACAGTTCAGCTCTATCCTCTCTGGAACCTCCTTGCAGGTAGTTGAAGGCTGCTATCAAATCCCTCCTTCCCCCAGTCTTCTCTTTGCCAGATTAAATAAGCCCAGTTCCCTCAGCCTCTCCAATCATGTGCCCCAGCCCCTGAACCATTTTGTTGCCCTCTGCTGGACTCTCTCCAACTTGTCCTTATCCTTTCTATAGTGGTGGGGAGAAGGGGGGTGAACAAAACTGGACAGAGTACACCAGATGTGGCTTCACCAATGCAGAAAAGAGCAGAATAATTACTTTCCTTGATCTGCTGGCAACACTCCTACCAATGCAGCCCAGTATGTGATTAGCCTTTTTGGCAACAAGGGCACACTGCTGACTCATACTCGGTTTATTGTCCACTGTAACCTCCAGATCCTTTTCTGCAGAGCTGCTGCCCAGCCAGTCAGCCTCCATCCTGTACTGGTGCACGGGATTGTTCTGTCCTAAGTGCAAGACTTTGCAATTGACCTTATTGAAGCACATGAGATTTATTTTGGCCCAATCCTCCAATTTGTCTAGGTCACTCTGAATCCTAGCCCTACCCTCCAGTATATCAACTACACCCCTCAGTTTGGTATCATCTGCGAACTTACTGAGGATGCAATCTATCCCATCTTCCAAACTGTTAATGAAGTTATTGAATAAAACTGGCCCCAGGACTGACCCCTGGGGTGCTCCACTTGATACCAGCTGCTAACTAGACCCTGAGCCATTGATCATTACCCATTGAGCCTGACAATCCAGCCAGATTTCTATCCACCTTACAGTCCATTCATCTACCCCGTACTTCCTCAGCCTGAATGGCCATTTAATCCATTTCCTGCACTATTTCCCAACATTTGTTTCAACAGTCCTGTCAGACTGCCAGCCCATGGGGGTATGCAGCCCATGAGGGGTTAAATTGCAGTTTACAGGATTTGTCAGCCAGCTGACTGAGCCAGCATGCTGCTGTACAGGCAGTCCTGGGACTTAGGACACAATTGGTTCCTGAAGACCACGTCTTCTGCATGCTAAGTCAAAATGTTGCAACTCTGAACCAATTTTCTCATAAGAAACAATGTTACAAATGGGGGATTGGTTCCTGAACCAAGGCCCAATATCCTATTTTCATCAAAAATACCCCAGAATTTTGTACTTGATCAATTATAGATGAGTAATATAGCTACATTAATGTATTTTTATTGTAAATAGCAATTATTGATTTGGAAGGATGTCTTTGAGGTGACTTTGCTGGACTTTTTAAAGGGTTATTGGCTGGACTCTTCTCAGGAGTCTTGGCTGCAGGTTTTTCTGGAGTCTTGTCTGCTTTCCTAAAGGAAGTGTCCAAGAAAGTTTGGACAGATGTTCTCCAGGGAGATGAGTGATGCAGCAAACTTGTTTGCTGGCATGGCATTGCATCGGATCAAGTGTTGTAAGTCGAAACTGGTGTTGTAAAGTAAAAACAGGGTGTCAATTTTATAAACATTGTAAGTGCGAAACGTTGTAACTTGAAACACTGTAAGTCAAGGACTGCCTGTACTCTAAAACTTAGGTGGTGAACATCACTGCTGCTCAGTCCTCACCCGTCCTCTTCCTTGCTGCAGAACTCAGGGTCTTTGGTTGCTGTTGGTATGGGGATGCAGGTGGGGAAAGCCAGTGGCAGGGTTCACCCTTTGGATTCTAGAGCTGCACCAACAGTGGTTCTAGCTGTTGCCTTGCCAAACTGCTACCTTACTGCCAGAAGTGGGTTATCTGGCCTACAAACCCTGTGGTCCAGATGTAGTCCATGGAGCCAAATGAGTTGGACACTCCTGCACTACAGCAGAAAGGACCAAGAGAACATCAGACTCTGGAAACCTGTGTCCCTCTCTTGCAGGGAAGAACCCCTGGTCCAGCCCCTGCAAGAGAGGGGCACAATCAGAAGTCCTTCCCCTTACCATGGATTTACCTGGCCTGGAAGGTGCTCTTTCACCCAAACCTACTTATGATCTCTTTGAAGTGCTGGCTCCCTGGTGCAGAAAATCCCCCTGCATATGTACATACTCAGTTACGTGCTGCGCTTGAACAGGGAACCTACACTTTGAAGCCACATTTCTCTCCTTTCTGTGCTACTTCCTTTCATCATGCCTGAGGGAATATGTGAAGCTCATCTCCTTTAGCACCTGCTTGGCTGCAGATGACTGGTAGTAGGCTGTGTTGGCTGTGTACTGCAGGGAATTTGGTGCTGGAGTTGGGAGGGGCAGGCTAGATGTGGGCACAGCTGTATTCTCAGTATGTATTATATATGCATTTCCAAATATGTTTAATTAAAAGATGACAAGAAGTGAAACAGAAGCATTGCAGTACTGGGTTCAGTACTTCTTTTTCCCTGATCCTTATCCCCCAGACTGGGGAAAATCCCTCCTGTACAGCTGCTGGGATTTCTCTTTTGCATCTTTCAAATGAACATTGTGCTGGAAAAGATACCTGCCCAACTGCCCTGGAGATGGAGACTGGCTGACCCCATAGGCCACTGAACAACCAGTATACCACAATAGTCTGAGCCTGAAACCTGTCATAAAGGGGAAACCTCTCTATCCTGTCCAGCAGCTTCTTAGTAGGGCTGTGCGAAGCTTCGGTCCGATTCAATTCGGCTCAATTCAGTGGCTGAATCTCCAAATCGAATCGGAGGACCCTTTAATCTCTCTGAATCAAATCGGACATAGACACAGCTTTTAAATGTTTTTTCTACATGCCTCTAGGTAGCAGGCGACTCATGACCACTGCAATGCTGGGGTGCATGGAGTGTCCCACAAGTGTGGGGGGGCTCCCTAGCCTGCTTGGCAGCAGACCCAGAAGTGGACCAGAAGTGCTTCCAGTCCACTTCCAGGTCTGCCGGAGAGTGCACGGGGGGGCCCCCCCCGCATCTCCCCCAGCTCAGTGATTGGTGCCTCCTGAGTCTGGGGTTGGCACTTGGGGTCCCCCTGCGGCTGATTGCTAAGCCGGTGGGGCACTTGGGGTGGGGGGGGGGGTGTATGCGGGCAGTGCACTCCCCAGCAGACCCAGAAGTGGACCAGAAGTAGTTCCAGTCTGCTTCGATTTGCTGCCGAGCACATGGGGGCGGGGGGCTCCTGTGGGACGCTCCATCTGCCCCTGCATCTGCCCCTGCATCACAGCATTCACAAGCTGTGCCTGCTACCTCAAGGTATGTAGAAAAAACATTTAAAACTGTGTCTATGGCTGACTTGCTGATTCTCCGAATCAGCATTGAATCTTCAGATTTGACCGAATTGAATCGGGGACAGTGATCCAAATCAAATTACTGTCCCTGATTTCAGGCTGAATCCGAATCCAATAGGGCCCACTTCTCACAACCCTCCTTCTTAGTTTCCTCTCTCAAATCTGGCACCTGAGAACTTAACCAGGTAACCATTTTAAAATGCTGCATTGCACCTACCATTTGACATCTACAGGAACCAGAGAGAAACAGATGTGCCTCTCTGGATGCGGGTGTTACTGCAGCTTTGTCTGTGTGCAGGAGCAGCAAAGACACTGGTTGTTTCCTGGAAGCACAAATCATTAGCTTGTGGTATCCTTGCTGGAAGTCATCTTGGGGTTGAGGTTCCCCCCAAGGCAAACCCATATGCGAAGCCATACCTCAGCACCTGAGTACAGATTAAGACAAGAGACACCATTAGAAATCTATTGCTCCGAAGATCTAAGACAGGGGTCAGCAACCCCCTGGCATGTGTGCCAGAGCATGGCGCGCACAGTCATTTTGCTTCGTGTGCGCCTCCAGGCAGATGGTGGGGAAGGGGCCGGAGCTGTGCTGCCACAAAAACTGGGCCCCTCGTGGCTCCCCCACTATCTGCCCAGAGGCGCACATGCACCCGCCAGCAATGAGCAGGGCCGGGACTCTGCAGACCCTAGTGCAGTGGCTTGCAGCCTCTCAGTTGCTTGCTTTGAGCAGCCTGAGCTCTGTGGCAGGT